ATACTGGAGAATTGAGGAGGAAGGGGTAGTGTCCTGGTCCTGTACCTCTGATGAATTTGGGTGGGAGAAGGAGACGCTAAGAGAAACCTTTGTCAGAGGGAGGCTAATATGTGATCTAGACAGTCCATACACTTAGTATCATGAAGTACAGTCCTGGTACTTGCCCATCATCCCCAAAACACTAATGAACAACCACTCCCCTTATTTCTCTGGGCCTTTCCCCTTCAAACGGGTCTCTGAGGCTGGGGATAAGGGTAGAGAAATAAGAGCAAAAATGGACATGAGGGCCCTGGCTGGGTGGCTCAGTTGGTTGGAGTGTTGTCCCAAACACCACCAAGAGGTTTTGGGTTCAATTCCTAGTCAGGGCACATTCCTAGGTTACAGATTGAATCCCCAGTCGGGGTACATACAGGAGGCAACTGATCAATGTTTTTCTTTCTTTCATCTTTCTCCCTCTCTCTCCCTTCTTCTCTCTAAAATCAATAAACATATCCTCAAGTGAAGATTTTTTTTTTTAAAGGATGCATAGAAGAACAGAAGTGAAGACAAAAAAAAATAGGCAAAATTATGATTTTCTTCTGGATCCTTTCCCACCCCCAACATTGCCATGCAGGGTTTCTAATGAGTCAAAGTTTACTGTATCTCCAATAACAGACTGAAGCTTACTTTTAAAAATAAAATAACAAATTATTTTAAAATAAAATCACACACAGGACAAGCACACACTTATAAAGCAATGTGTGCTTATAAGTGTGCTTCCATCTATGCAAAATGACCACAAAAAGTTAAAAAAAACAATTAAACAAGATTTTCACTTAAGTTAATAAGTGCAAATATCCTTCATCAAAATTATAATGGAATTTTTTTCCCTTTTCAGCATCTACCAATAGTCTCAGATTCAGAAAGTTCCTACAAACAATGCCAAAAAGGAATACCATCTGTCAAAGAGGCCTGTCCAAAGACGAAATTCCAGGAGTCTCTTGGGTAAAGATCAATCATCGTTACTCCCACAATGCAGAAGGCATCTTCAGGTTTCTTTTTTTTCAAGAAGTGCAGGATGTGCCCTATTCACAAAGATATGCACGTGTGTTATCTATATATATCTCCACATCCTGGACTCAATTAAAATTGTGAAGTTGTTTCATTCACCTGCATGTATCTGTAGGTTCTTCGTGCTATCATTGACTCTAAAGGCACACCTTGTTGCAGAGACAGGGACTGGTTCTAGGAGTTTCACTGTCAAGCCATAGAAAAATGCTTCACAGTAGCCCTTGAGCCATTTAACATATTCTTCGCTGATAATTCTGGTATTTCCTAGAGATCCTATAACATGGAAGAAAATTTAGAGACAGACGTTAGGATGATTAAAATACTCATTCTTTACCTCAGTCTATAATTAGGAATTGGAATTAGAAACAAATTAAATCTAAATTCTCAAAACACCTTTATCATTCAATAACACAAATCTGATTTAGAAACAAAGTATCTTCTTTTAAGACAGTTTAGCTAAAAACTTCCACTATGGAATGAGATGAACAGCCCAAACTATCCCAGGCAACGGCACCACAGCACAACCACACCAAATGCAGCATATGTTAGTATATACCGATGCACTGTATATAAATCCTGTGTTTCTCTCGAGAGGGTGTCTTTCTGGAAGGATCACTGAAAAAATCTTCAAAGTCTTGGGGAGGCTCAGGATGGGAGGTGATCCAATCTGACTGCGAATGCAAGGTGATGGGCCCGAAGAGATCACTGGCTGGTCGGAAGGCTTCGTTCATCAAACGCCGCTCTGCAGCATCGAGCTTCTCATACTGGGACACAAGTGCTGGGTTCTTTGAGATGAGAGCTGTTCTAAGTGTCTGTTCCGAGTGCCGTACCGTTTTCATCTACCAAGAAGACCGAGCTCGTCAAACATAAAATGATAAAATGTATATCCACGCCGGAGACTTCAATCTACCTGTCCTCCACACCCACCTCTAATTTCTCCCAAAACAGAATGTCTGACTACCGTATTTTCCCGTGTATAAGACCCTCTTTTTTTTTCTTTCTAAAATCATTAGACTGAAAATCGAGGAATGTCTTATATACAGAAGTCAGCCAAGGAGGGAGCCGTGCAGGTGTGTAGCTGCCCATACCTTGTCAAACAGGCTTCCTCCAATCACCAGCCTTATTGTTACTGATGTTAGCTGATGCCGTAATTGGAGGTGGAGGTGGAGAGTGCAAAGATGCAACAGGGACCGGAGTGTTCTGAGCCCATAAAGATGTAAAAAAATAAAAAGATAAATGCCAGTGATTGTCTTACTCCGCAAAATTCAAACTGAATGTCATCAGCTAAGCAAAAGAGCATGGAACAGAGCTGCAGAGAGACAATCTGGACCTCCTCCCACTTAGTGTGTGATCAGACAGTGGAGAAAACAGGAAGAACAACTCCTTAAGATGCCAAAAAAGGAGGCCTTAAGAGGAAAACCAGCAAAATGTTTAAAATACTGATTTCTTAATTTTGGGTTGGAAAAGTGGGGGGTGTCTTATACATGGGGGTGTCTTATACATGGAAAAATACAGTACTTATGCTTTAGAGGGGCCACACCAAACTACAGTTTGCTTTCCCCATTTCTAATCAATTTCTTGGGGAGGGTACCTGAAAAAGCGGAAAAAAAAATCATGAAAATTATTCCTCCATCTCTTATGGAACCTGACCCCAATGTAAAAACTGGTGGTAATCCCTAAGAGCATGACCTGATTTCTAAATTCCTTCTGACATCTGGGTAATAACAGCGACATTATGAATTGACTCATTCAGGCCACATGAGAAATACTCATCCTTCCCAACATGACTCAAAGGTGTCCAAGACCAAACAGAGAAGCAATGTCAAGAACGGCCAGTTCTGTACCTTAACTGCAGCCACTTCGGTTTATGGTCAGGAGGTCATGTCACCCTGGGGATGACATCAGTGACAAGCAGCAGCCAGACTCACAATGACAGGTCTCTTCCGCTCACATCCTGTTTTTAGGTAGAGCTTTCATCCTTCCCTTTGAATGGGGAAAGCAAACAGCTGTTCCACCACGAGGCTCTGTGCGTTAGGAAAGGGGGAAAAAAATTGGACATTTATGTCTGGAACCTATCATATTTTCTAACTACCTGTAGGTTTTTCCCAGCTTAATGATAGACAACTGATGGGAACATTTAAGTTCACGGCTGTTCTGGTTGGCTATCTGAACCCTGGGGTGTAGGGTGTGGGAGAAACTCCCAAACTGGTCTCTACGGTCAAAGCTCTGAGTAGAGCACAGACTCACCCTGACCGCCCCACAGCTGGGCTGAGACAGGACAGCACATGAAGCCAGATGTGCCCCGGTATTCTTCCCACCTTTAGGAAGGAAGGCTCCACTGAAGTGCTGACATGCCAGGGCTTGGTCGGGAGACTGTCTGCGGGGTGCCTTCACCCTAATATTAAACAGGTAGTGTTAAAAAAAAAAGAAAGAGCCCCATAGTAAGAAGTCTCCCGGACCTACTCTGGGTGGAGCGGTAGGGGGCAGGATAGCGTCACCTGGGTGGGCTGCGGGACTGCGATCCTGCCAGCGCTAAACCAGCACAACCCGGGCAACCGGGACCAGTTGGTCACCAGAGCTGGTTGCCTATAGCAACTGGCGCCTGGAGCTCGCACCGAGCAGGCGTGACGGGGTCCCCGACTGGGGGGCGGGTGGGGGATTCCCCGGGGACTCTCGCTGCGCCTTTTCTCCCA